CAGTAGTACTTTGTAATGTGATTTTTGGATTATTTTGACGGGTGTTGTGTGGGTGAGAGGGTTGGGCTAAAATAAGCATAGTGCTTCATCCAACCCCTTTTCAAACCTTGAACATATGTGTCTGAACATTTGTCAAATGTGTCTTCTGTGCAGGTTTTGAAATAAAGAAATGACGATGATACTTCCAAAATCCATTGAAACGACTGCTCTGAGAGTTCTAGTGTTATGAAAAGGGTCCATGTAAATCTTCAGGTAGAACAGCATATATTATAATTTAATATATTGCTTGATCTCAATAACAATGGAGGCCTTCAAAGTCATCCAATATCATCAAAATTCAGAATGAAAACAGAATGTGTTATCAAAAGGTTTGACTGAAGTCACAAGCTCCTCCAGTGCAGAATACAGTCCAATGAACTCTGTGTTTCTTCCTGCCCACACACGGGAGCACAAAGCCAGGTGTTTCTGCAAAAGGTGATTAACAATCACCTACAGTCTTACACACTGGTTTTACAAAACTTTCATGTATGTATGGCCCTATGTATGTATAACAACTTTGGAAATGTAATCAATCATTGTCAACACCTCAGCCTTCTTCACACCACAAAACTGCTTGAAAAAACATTATTGATTGACAAGGGAAATTATTTGTCCTCACCAAGAGGAAGTGGTATTAAAAGTAAGTAATTAGCAAAAAAAAGTAAGTAATTAATTAATTAGCAAAACTATTTCAAGGCAGCTTATCAATATACTGTAACAGTGACGTAGCAATCCTTCTAAGTACTGTTCTGGAAATTGTATTTCATCGTTTTCGGCATATGGGCCCAGTAAATCATGTGCTTTATACCTCCGGCCGAGGGTTCACCACCTCAACACTGGGTGGGAGGACAGCATGATGGGAAAAACACTGAGGGATTTCACTTAACTGGGTCAGTGAGTAGAGAAAAAATGAAATAAAATGACAAAGACAATGAGATGGTTTAACAGAGGAAGGGGAGCCGTCTGCTGTCCATGAAGGAGCGAGACAAACAGCAGGGGGTAAAATATAGAAGTACAGACATTTGAGTATGACAATTAAAAAAGATCATAAAGACATACAACCACAGAAAGGCACACCACAAAAAGCTGTTTGGGCACTTATTTTACCGGCTTGTGTAGGAGTACAGCCAAAATTGATCAGAATCCCAGTCACAATTGAAAGATCAGGCTATATTTACTAATTTAATCAATCAGTCTATTAGTAATTTTAGAGCTGTAAGAAGGTAATCCATTAGTCATTATAATTTTTAAATAATCAAATAATTGTGAAGCAATTATGAAGTAATTGTGAATGGAATAATCATTAACTACATCTACACAAGCAGTAAAAGGATATGAGCTGAATTCAGATGTTTATTACTCATAGGGAGTGCAGGAAAATTACTTAATTATTTATTCATTATACATATTCATCAATATATTTTATATTCATAAAATTATTTCACAATAGAGAAAAAGGAAATGCAAAAGTAAATGTTCTTAAAATCCAAGTTAAGTAAAATTGTATTCAATTTGAATTAAGCGTAATATTTGTTCTTTAACGCAGCTACTGTGAGCCAGCTCCAGGTGCCAGCAGAAATGAACAGCAAGAGCAGCTGAAAAAGTTGACTCAGCAGCTTTGATTTCCTAACAGTGAATTTATACATGTTGTGTTTTAATACTCTGTGGTCACCTAATAGTCTGGACCAGAACTGTTCATCCATAATTCACCAATATAAAGTGTTTTGTCTCGAAATCTAATATTGCCTTGTCTAAATGTGGTGAGCTATGATGATTTATGGCACATGCACATGTAAGTAGTCACTTACAATAGGCATACATATATTTTCTGTTAAGTTCGTTACCACATCTCACACAAGTAGTTTTGACCTGCAGATCCCAGTGTCACTAAAGGAGCAAATGTGTGCACCACAGATTGCTCCCACACACAAGGAAATTATTATTGAAAATCAGGGAAATTGCAGCGCCCCGGGGACAGACGCTGGAATCAGGTCACTCAAAGTCAGAAGACCAGGTGTATAAAAAGATAATTATACTGCATCACACAAACTATCAGTCTGTATGATTGATTCTCATTAAGTTATAGCAAAGACATATACAAAACTTTTCAAAAACCAGCAAGACAAGATACAAAACTAACAAGGGACAAGCTGAACCACGCCACAAATCACAAGATTTAACTTCAGCCTGTCACTATAGCAACACTGGCCTTTAACCTAACATCAACAAACCAAGATATTTTGTTTACACAATGACTGCAAAATTACGTTGACATATGTTGGCCGCTGTCTGACCCTTACTTTCCAGGCTTAAACTTACAGATAACCTTATCACTGGAATTGTCTTCAGTTTTCCACTAGAGCAATGTTTAGGTAATCTGTTTTGAAACTTGATAAAAATGTGTGCGCACTTCGCGGTTTATGGCCCTTTTGGCAATGCCGGATATAACAAAAAAAGTTCCGCATAAACTGATAGTTAGTTTTTTTCTGAAATAGATGTGACTCCAGGAATGACTGAAACTCTTGAGCAGTTTTGTGGACTGAAAACTTCTCACACATCTCCATTGTCAGCTCACTGCTGCCACACGTGCCAGTCGAAAACTGGCTAACTGACCTATATTCACAACTTTCCTTTCCACCTTTAAATATTTATTGCTTTCCTTCCCAACATGCAATTTGGACCGTTTCCAGTAAAAACAAGTGAGTGGGTTTCATGTCGTACTGTGTAAATATAACACTATTGCCTAGTGCTCCATTGAGATATAATTAAGAACGATGAAGCGTTTATGAAATTTATTGCACAAATGTCATGGTTCCACGTGCAGCCGAAAGCAGTGTTGTGAGCCAATTTGCTGAAAGTCTATATACAGTGGGTTGCACAAATACTTGCCATGCTAGGATCAGAAAACCATTAAGGGACGCACAATCATCAAGTGAAATTAAATGTATTAATGCTTTTGAACTTTTAGGATAAATACAAAACTGCGAGATATGCAAAAGTATCTACACTTACAGAACTTTCAGCAATTACAGCTGCAAGTCTGTTCGAGAATGTCTCTACCAGCCTTGTGCATCTTCAGCCTAAAAGTTCTGCCCATTTTTCTTTGCAAAACAGCTCATGCTAAATTAGAGTAGATGACAAGAGCAAGTGACCTGTGGAAAGGTCTATTTTTCAGACCTTTCCACAGATTCTAAATTGGATTTAGGTCTGGGCTTTGACTTGGTCTTTCAGGTTTCTACGATTACATTGATTACATTGTTGCCATGGCTTGATGTTTAAGGTCATTGTCTTTCTGAAAGGGGAACGTAAGTTTCAAGTCTTTTGCAGACTCCAACAAGCTTTCATCCAAGATCAGAATCAGAAGAATTTTTATTGCCATGTGAGTAACAGGAAGTCACAAACTAGGAAATTGCTTTGGCCCTTGGTGAAAACAAGTTAAAGCAGAATAAAAACAAGAAGGCATGCATTACCCTGTCTTTGGCTTCATCCATCTTCCCATAAACGCTAACCAGCTTCCATGTCCCTACTGAAAATGCTACTGCTACTATACTATGTGGGTATGGTGTTTTCAGGGTGATGTGCAGTGTTTCTTTTATACCAAACATAAAGTTTTGCATATTGGCAAAAAACTTTACTTTTGGTCTCATCCGACTGCTCTGATCACTCCTGATCACTCCTCGTTGTGTTTGGCCAGTAAGTTGAGGACAACCGTGTCCTGATAAGCTTGCAGTTATGGCATTCTGTTTCCATTTCTGTATAGTGTATTCACCAGTACTCCAAGAGATGTTCAATGCTTTTAAAAGCCAATGATATCTTAATACGTCAATCAAATATACTATATTTAATAATCATCTGATCATTATGCATTTAATGTCAATATTTGTAATGTAAACCGATGTGTGCGTAAAGGTGTGCAAAGGTGTTTGGAAAAAAACATGAGCATGTGGAAATCATTAGACGTGGGCTGATAGAGCTGGGCCATACTTGTGTTTGCACGTGAGTGTGGAGTGTTGACTGGCAAGCACCACACCTCCAGCCTCAACACATGCTTCCTCTGTTACCTGCCCCAAGACACAACACAGAAGGCTTAGCCAACACATGTTATCCCTGCTTCACAGGGTACAAACTTTCTGTAGGATTATCCTTATGTGTATGTTCAAAAAACAATTAATACTTATCTAACTAGTTTGAGTTGGGGGCCAGACACTCCTCTGCTAGCTAATAAAAATCTGGGCCCTGAAGTACGCCCTAAACCTGGCTGTACACATGAAGCTGCAGAATACATTACAGTTTACAAGTTTACAGATATTTGAAAAATAAATAAAACATTGATTAAAAAAAAAAAAACGTTTACAGACCACTTAGGACGTACAGGGGTGACAGACAGGGTATTTTTTCAAAGCTTAGAAAGGTGGAGTATAACCACTAATGTACTAATATCAAGAGAAAAGGTTGAACAAGGGAAGAGGAGGAGTGTGGAGCATGGAGGGAGGGAGCGAGGTGAACATCCCAGAGAGCATAAATAGGCTTGAGAACTTTTGGACCTTCGCAGTCACTGTTGCAGACAGCCACACTGAGCACTGCCCTCCCCCCTTCACCTGCTGCACCCTGCTTCCTCTGCTGCTACCTTTCATATTCAAGCTTCAACAAGTGAGTAACTTATGAATTGCTACCAAATTTATTCTTCAAGCCTAATTCAATGTAAGTCATACATATTATTTGTGTACAATTTAAATTAGTAAGACAGTATCTAAAAATCCAGTCAAATATACATGCATTCATGCTTACTATATTTATAAAACAAGCAAGTCCAATTATCATATTTTATGTATGTTATTTCCATGTCATTCCTCTTTTAGATCTAATTTCATTCCATCTCAATTATGGATCTCAACCTTTACTCTCAGTCTATTTATCGCTTCATCCTCATGGTTGCAACGCTGGGGCATGGACTTCTCTCTATGCCTGTCCCCACTGATGTCCCCATGTGCAAAGCTTCCGAAACAGCCCATTACAACCTCACCTTTACTGGAAAGTGGAGCCAATCAGCTTTCCCCAAGCAATATCCTGTGTACCGCCCCCCTGCCCAGTGGTCTAACTTGGTTGGTAAGTAAAATATAAAGCATCTCATCCCACGACATTACAATTAGGTTGAATTCCATGCTAGCTTCATCTGGTTCCCATCTTTGTTTATCTGCTTTCAGGGGTAACTCATAGCTCCGACTACCACATGTGGCAGAGTAATGACTTTGCCAGTAACGGAGTGAGGGAGTTCAGTGAGAAGGGAGAGGCCTGGACGCTCATGAAGGAAGTGGAGGAGGCGGGAGAAAGCATCCAAAGTGTTTATGGTGTCCTTTCTGCTCCTGCTGTTGTGGGCGGGACTGGACAGATGAGCACAGAGTTTGAGTTGGGGGCCAGACACTCCTTTGTAAGGCTTCCTGCATATTTGCATGTTCATGCAGCTATTGAAGAGGTAACTTGCCATATTTATCTGTTCAAGCTTTTTCTTTCCAGCTGTCCTTCATGGTGCGCATAGTTCCGAGTCCAGACTGGTTTGTTGGTGCAGATGGCATAAGCCTCTGTGACGGTGACCACTGGAAAGAGACTGTGTCACTGGACTTATACCCCTACGATGCTGGGACTGACAGCGGCTTTACCTTCTCTTCTCCCAATTTTGAAACTATTCCTCAGGATAAAATCACAGAGGTAAATATAAATTCTTGCTCATGTTGATTCCTATACTACAAATTTATGTTAATGTGTTTTTATCTTTTAATCTATTAGATCACATCTTCTAACCCAAGACACCCAGCCAACTCATTTTACTATCCCCGACTGCGACACCTGCCACCTATTGCCAAGATTACACTGACAAAGGTTAAGAAAAGTAATCAGATCATCAGTCTGCCAGTGGAGCCCACCCAGTCCAATCAACTTCCCACTGGAAATGAGATTGAAGAGAAACTTATAAGTAAGTCGGTTGTTTTAGACTTAAACGACTCGAACAAAAACATTTGGTAACCATTAAACATTGGACTACCAGAGAATTTAAGATTAGTTCACAGAGGAACTTCTGATGCAGTGGAAAAGAACAAATCAGCATTATACATGGTTCACAAAACAGTCAAAAGCTTTTAGACAAATGGACGTTAATCTTTCCTTGTTATAGAAAACATTTGACATACAGTAAACAAACAGGCAAGCCAAAATTAGACAGCGGGACAATTAACCACAAATGTATTCTATTCCTGACCTAAAACCTACAAAGGGATAACGATATTTTCACCACACAAATAACAATAAATTATGTCATCATAATACAGTATTCTAGACAACATGCAAGAGACGAATTGGGCCATAATAAGATGAAATCCTTTCTTCTAGTCCCTAAGTAGGTTCCAAGATCCCGTCTGTTCATCTTATGCTCATAAAATTGTGTCACAAAACAAATTTTGCATACACATGACCTATATCTGGCCGACATATTCAGCCTCCACTGTTTGCCGTGTTATTCTACTCAGTCTGCAAAACCAATCAGTAGTTGCAAAGCTGGTCTAGATTGGTAAAAAAAAGAAGACATAAAATCAGGTTGTGTAATAACAGATCTACATGTGTTTGCAGATACGCCTTTGGACTGCGAGGTGTCAGTGTGGTCTCCCTGGGGCTTGTGTAAAGGCAAGTGTGGAGACTCAGGTGTTCGGCACCGCACTCGCTATGTCCTGATGCAGCCTGCCAACAATGGAGCCGTCTGCCCTCTGCTGGAAGAGGAGAGAAAGTGTTCCCCAGACAACTGTTTATGACTAGGCCAGAATAAGGGGGGGCGCAAGGAGAGGAAAATCAGGAGAAAAAAGAAGAACCGGAAGTCCAGAAGAGGACGAAAAAGACAAAAACAGAGCAATAGTAAACGGTCTGTTGGCTATTTGAATGTAGAGTAAAGCTCTACATTCTCTACATCGCTGATCCTGGGTCACAAACTCAATTGAGCCTCAAAGAAAGAAACTGTGTCTTGGAGATATGATGTTAAACTCTGAAGGCACCATTTTGAGTTGATAGATTTCTAAATTTACTGCACAAATGTCATACACGGAAAATGTCACATGCTAAAATGTAATGAAATTATCTTGATTTTGGACTTTTGACATTATAAAATAACATACCATTAGAGAAAAGTAACAAGCTTGGGTATTGGTGATTTGTATAACTCTAAAAAAGTTTTTGTTTTTTTATTAATTTGATGTAAAAAGTTGTCAATATAAGCTCTTCTACTTTTGTCTTTCCTTGTCAAAAGGCAAAATGCTAAAAAGTATATTAATGACAGGATTTTACCTGTCGTGTACAGTTTATTTAGAAAACATACAATTCAGCAGAATTTGTTCAACATGTTTGTAAATAAAGGAAATATCCAAATATTGTGGCTTTCTGTATATTCCTAAAGTCCCCAGCAGAACATAGACAACACCTGTTCCTAGACTCTTATAAATGAAAGAGAATGTATTACATGAGCTCAAATGATAAACTAAAGGATTTATTGAGTGCAAAGAAACCACAGTCAGCCTTCTGACCCTTTTAGCGTCTCAAAGTTGGGTAGGATTTGTTCTGATGAGGTGTGGGTCATAAAATGGATAAAGCTAATCACCAAACACTTCAAATTATAACCCACAGCTTTGATTTACATCTCCAACAGTTCACAATGCTTTCTTTAAAATCAGGATATACGTTTCATGGTTTTTGTTTTGGAAAATCCTGAAAGAGCAAAGAAAATGCACATCTGTGCGTCACTACTTTTACCCTTCTTAATGTATCCACAAGATAAGACATATTGAAATTCCATTCAAACCATACGGAACCAAAGAGACATTTAATATTTCTGATATACACATTAAGGGGTGAAAACTATAGCAGATGCAAAATGATCTCATCCTTGCAAATTAATCCTGACAAAACAGTTGTATCCATCGGAAAGAAAAGCCCTGACTCATAATTAAGTTATGTCCAAATTAAAACTTCCAGCCCAGGAGTTGAGGATGCTGTTAGGACTGTAATTTTTTTTTTTAATGAAATAAACTGACTGGGTGGTTTCAAGCAGACTATCAGAGGAAAGGCAAATTGATAATGCTGTTGAACCTGATGAAATCTCACACAACAAAGAGACAAAGTTAATCTTTTACTTGTTACATTGTACAAGGAGAATGTCTTGACAGAGGCAAGGCACAGATCCCAGCCTCTCTCAGGACAAGTCTGAAGATTCACAGTCTGCAAGCCCCTTTTGGTAGAGCAAGACACACCTTCGTATGCAGATGGGAAAGGAAGAAACCAACACAACAAAAGGCACTTAGCATATGAGCTCCCCAGACCTCCCGGTGTCTTCCTGAAGCTAAAGTGTATTACAATACAGAGCATTCAGCACATAACCACATATGATTTACCAAAATGATAACTTAAGTTACATTCCAATAACACAAATATACGTAAATCATTTGTGGAAATCAATCCACAATACATGTCTGAGTTTCTATACATTTTTTGTCTCTATGTAAATGCATGATTTACAGACATTTATTTGTAGTTCCCCAATATAAGTAGACATGAAGATATGCATTATTACATCCTGATTAAAAAGTTCTTGTCACAAACTCATGTCATGACATAAGACCAGCTGGGGCGGGACCATGTGAAATTAATGTATGGGAGATTGATTGTGATCTGGCTGAGTCCGGGTGGTTTATGTATTATTTGTATAAAATACGCTTATAAAATAAAATGATTGATTGATGAAAAAAATAAAAAATAATAATAATGAATCATTATTTTGATAGTTGATATGTTGATTCTTTTCAATTATACAATTAGATCCCAAAAGGTAGGCGAATATGGGACTTCAACATTTGACCAAAACAAAGCCAAGTGATGTTTCCCCATTTTAATTTCTGTCATTATTGACTAATTACCTGAGCAAAATAACTTCCTCTCAGCATGTTTAAGTCTATGTAAGATTTTTAATTAGAAGACAACTTTTTCAATAATCGAGAGTTGCAATTAATGGAGTAACTTGTTACAGCCCTAAGAAAATCAACAGTGGACTGAATTAGAAAGTAGTAGTAACAGCATAACATTCTCACTTGATATACACAATACTGTATCAAAATGCAACCAAGCTGTTATATATGCTGCAAGAGTAGCTTGTTCAAGCATAGTCAAACACATGTGAAGTGAATTTCAATATAGAGCAGATGAAATGAATGACTTAAAAGACTTGCATTTAAGTCATCTTTTAAGCAGAGAGTAATAAGATAAACCAGTCCCAGCGGCTCAGTGACTCGTCACTCTATGCAGCACCTGCTTAATTCTCACGCACACATAAAGCGTTGCAAGACTGCTGGACACCTTCTTTACATACGGGTATTGAGCTCTGCTGGGTTTCAATGAGGAATATGGATTGGAAATGCTCTGGCTTTCTGGTTTTGTGTTACCTGATGATAGTAGCATCTATGTATTTTGATCTTGGAGAGCAGGAAGAAAAGTGTATTATTGAAGAGGTTCCTGACAACACGCTGGTGACTGGTAAGTCCAGATGACTTCATGTGATCCTGTTGACAAAATGTATTTAAATAAAGCGTGTAATGTCATAACCTTATGTGATAATGTCCTTATTTGCAAATACCTGAAGGTTATTTCTTGTTGGAGCCTTGGGATACAAACGCGGTGACCCATTCCCCTCATCTGGGCGTAACTGTGAAAGTCCAAGATCCAAACTATGAGGTACTTATGGTTGTTATATGCATTCAATGGTTCATTGAGTGAGATTTAGCCTTTAGACCACAATATCCCCGGGATTAAATCACTTACAGTCAGTACAAGAAACTTCAAAATGTAATATTTTTGTATGTGCTACACTTGCCTTTATGGTCACAATGATTTCACTGGTTGAAAAAGGACAGGAATCTCAATCCTCAAATTTACTTTTTCCAGATTGTGATGTCCAAACGATTCAGTAAATATGGGAAATTTACATTCACTTCTCATGCCTCTGGTCAGCATTTCCTTTGTTTCCAAACCAACTCAACCAGGTTTTCTGTATTTGCTGGAGAGCGGCTGGTGAGTGTTGTAATTACTCTCTTAGTATGCTATTGTCACATGTCAATGTGTAAATGTTTACCTGGGATGCAGAGGCTGCACTTGGACATACAGATGGGTGAACACTCAATTGACAGAAACGCAGATAAGACTAAAGACAACATGGAAATTCTTGAGTACAGTCTCAGCCATCTGAGAGATCAAATGATGTACATCACCAAACAACAGGAATACCAGCGTGTAACACAACTTTTACTGTTTATATTGCAAACTCAAAATGCTTGTTGTAGTAAAACTACTAATTTTAAATCTTTTGATTATCTAGGAAAAAGAGGAAACGTTTCGCCAGATAAGTGAGGACACCAATGGTAAAGTCTTGTGGTGGGCGGTGATCCAAACATTCATCCTGTTGTCAGTGGGTTTCTGGCAGATGAAAAAGCTCAAAGAGTTCTTCATTGCAAAGAAGCTGGTCTAATTTATGCTAAGCTGTTGAAAAATAAAAGTGTGTTTTACATTAAATTTCCCTTTTACTTTATTTTCATCACTTAGTTTTGGTTTGATTCATGATCTTTTTGCTCAATGTGCAGCAGTAGTTTCACTTTTAATAGAAATTTCCCAATTTCTATAAGGCATTCGGATATCACTACATATGAAGAATACTTTATTTGCGCACTTGCCTTTGACTCTCACTTTTTTACTTAGAGCGCTTTGTGTGACCTAGGTCTGTGAAATGCGCTATATAAATAAAGATTAATATTAATGTATCCTTTATTCCTCCCACAGTGGGGACATTTCAGTGTTGCATCCCAAGTTACAGAACAGTAGGAATGAGGAGCAGACAATACAAGATAAGTGAACATTAATGTATAGCACAACTCTATACTTCAAAAATAAAATAAAATAAAGATTACTTCCTAACTTACAAACTTACTTTCAGATACGTCTAGAACTGAGTTGTGGGTGTATAATGATGTCAGAAAGACAGGATGTTCTTTGTTATTTTTTTCTAGTTGTTCTAGGGTGAGAGAATCACAACAGGGCTGAGGGAACATAGTAGTACTGTACTTGCTTTATTTTAAAACAGACTAGCTGGGATATTCCCCCATGGATCTATCCCCAACGTTAATATTTACAGTCTATGATCAATCCCCAATATTATAATAGAATCATATGATCTATCCCCATGGACTTATCCACCCCCACGTCATTCTGTAGATTTCTTACCAGGATTATTAATCGAACACAGAGCTATTCAGGCTTCAGAGAATAAAACGTCCCAGATTCAAATAAATAATTTGTAGCGAATTGCATGACCAGAAAATTGTTTTCACACAAAGTTTTGAAGTTTTAATATGACTCGCATGATTTTTAATGGACTCTAATGGTAAAATAAAAAAATGATAATGGTATGGTAAAATCAAAAAAATGTAGCATTGAACTTTTGTCAGTGGCATGAAGTAGTTTCAGTATAAATGTCCATCAAAATGTGTTATCATGACAGGCCTTCCAGTCTCAGCCAAGAGTTGAACTTGCAGACTCCCTCGACCACTACCTCGTGCTGCCTACCTCATGCGTGCATGCGTGCCAGTTGATATGTTAGCATCATTGATATGTTAGCATGTTACAATAATAATCATAATCATTATAAGACGACGCTACTAACTCTTAGCTTCCCTTTTGAAAATGAGAAACCTGATCTTACCAGATACAGAGGCGACAAACCAACAGTATATAGCCCAAACTGTTAGCTAGCTAGCTATCGCGATAACCAGTGAACCTGTCTTCCACGTGCGGTAAGGAGGGCTGGTAACTACGATTGTACAAGTTGTATACGTTGCATGTAAGTCAAACATCAATATTTACCTTCTCGATGACTTTGTTCACACACAGAAGTAGACTGTATTTTGTGAATTGCAGATGTTCAGATGTCTTGGTGGATCTGTTGTAATCTGTGCTTCCATTCTCCGGGTTCTGACCGCAAACTTGCCGTGACAACATGTGGACATCTTATATGCAATGTTTGTTTTCAGAAAGGTAACTGTAGTTAATTGTGTGCTACGCTGATAAAACAGACCTAGCGTTAGTTACTAGCCTATAACAAATTCAGCCTGTGTAAAGCTTATAACCAAAGAGGGACATCTATTGGCCTTTCAGTGTTAGTACATATAATCATTGGCAGCCATTTATACCCTTTGATTATTGTAACCCTCTGTAAATTTGGCTTTGATCGTTCACATAATTTATTGCATATATTAGACATAATACTACTGTCTGGATGCTGCTGAACTGTGCCTCCTCTTTAGGTACCCAAGGAACCTGTCTTATATGCAGTGCAAAATGCCAAGTGTCCCCTCTTTCTGACAAAGTGAGGATCACATAATTGCTCTTGAATTGTTATAGTAATATATGTTTGTAACAATGCATCAATTATCGTTATGTGCTGTGGAATGTAATTTAAAGATTCAAACGGGGCTATAACTCCATTGAAAATATCAGGAATTGTGTAAATGTCTAATTTGTATTTATAAACAGTTTGTTATTTTAAAAATCTATTAGGATGTATTTCAAATAAAAAATTGTGTTTGCGTTCTAAACAATGAATCAATATGTTTAATCGGTAGATGAATTAATTGTTAGTTACAGCACTAATGTTGTTTCTTATTATACTTATTTTAAGTTATTTTTATTTTGTAAGTTGATTACTTTATTGTTATTTACGATTTTGTTTGTTTCTTTAGAGCAGCTCTGAGGTAAAAGCTATGTTTTCTGAGATAACTTCTGTTGCCAGCAAGCACTTCACAGAAATCAGCAAGGTAACTGACAGAAATAATATGTTAATTTTATTTCTATGGTTATTATTTTGTTTGTTTAATATTTATTTTTATGCCCCAGGTTATTACGTTCCAAGCAAAACATCAGAAAAGGCTACTCGCTTATTATCAGCAAAAGGTAAGGGGCTTGCTTCATTGAGATACAGTATGCTTTGTTTTCCTTGTTGCATATACATTTTGAAACTTTTTATGACTTTAGAACGAAAAACTTGAACAGTCCCTGTTCAAGATGAAACAAGAAATGCAGCAAATGATGAAGTATGTCTCATTAATTTAATACATAATTTTACCTAAATTAGATTACATTGTATTTGTTTTTACAGGAAGCTTAATGAACAGAGTGCTTATATCAAACGTTTGGAGAACTCTTTTCAACATCAAAGGTAATGAAACGTGTGTATTTAAATACAGTTTCTTAAATGGATGCAGCCCCTGATGTATGATCAAATATTATGCACTAGGTGTCACTCTTATCACACTTTTGACTCTCTAAAAAAAAAGGTCCAACGTTTTCAGAAAGGAAGTTGTATGAAGTATTAGAGATCAACAGTCTCTTCTATAATATAGCTCTATTCTTATATGAACAGATATGTTTATATTCTTTACTTAGACACATGTCTATATTAATTGGTCTATTTTCTCAGTGTCAAAGCTTCAATCGCACAGAAGAGCCACACTTCTCGAACACCCCATAGAAATGAACCTGGTAGTACACCCTTTACTTTATAATCCAAACTTTGTTACATACATTATTTCACCTACCTTGACTGTTTGTGATGTGATTACTCCCAGCCATTCACATCCCTTCAAATTCTCCTCTACCATTTTCACGTCACTCATCCTCTGCAAATCTGTGAGTAGAAAATGTACTTTACAATTATTTGATTGTCACTTGTCCTTTGTTGTTCCTCTTGGTGGCCCCTCCTAAGTCTAGTACTTTAGGCATCAATATATCTATTTCAAATATTGTTCTGGCCTCAATTTGTGAGATGTCAACTATTGTAAAAGCAATTAGATGACAAGGGTATTTTGAAAAAACAAAAGGGGAAAAAGTGGTACATTTATGAATTATGGTAATTTTATATTTCTGTTGCTTTTTCTTCACTAGAAGTTCTAGGAACATAACATTTATAAAAAATATCAGCTTTTTATCCCTCACGGTGTGTTCCAGTGTGTACTCTTGCTTTTTGTCTGTCAACAGGAATGAAAACATGGATATCGATGAAACAAGTTTGTTCAGGAGAGTAAGTTATGTTAAATGTCAATGTCTTATACATAATATTGTGTAGTCATCTAACCATTTTAATAACAGAATCCCATAATGAAAAACAACAATGGAATAAATATATATTTTTTTTTTTTAGCCAAGGCTGACCTTAAACAGCCCTTCAGCAGATGGACAGATGGGTATGGTCCTCCATGTCCGGACCTTTTTGTAACATTTGTGTTATAACATTTATTTTATTGCACAGGAACAATACCTCACAGAATCTCCAATCAGCACATGTTGACAAACCATTCTGCCAGTTCAGCCTCTGTCCGGTTTGTTGTGTTACAAAACATCTCATTATTTTCTGATGAACTTTTATATGTAGTGTTTTATGTTGGGAAATTATTGTTAAAACTCTGTTTTCTTTCCACAGTCGTTTTCAAACCATGTCTACAACCCCAGAAATGTCCATCGGTCACACCTCAGGATGGAAATCCCCCATCTTCAAACCTCCAACAACCTTCAGGCATACCTCTCTGTCTTCTCTGGTTAACCTTCCCCCCTGACAACTGAAAACAACTTTTTATATTCTTTCTTTTTATTCATCCATATGACCTTTTACCAATAAATATATTTTATTTTAAAACTATGCTGTGTATCAAGTTTATGGTTTACTTCGGCTACTATATTTTATTTTTAGATTATACTTTTGTTTAGATGCACAACACACCAGCCTATGGGTAAACAACTTGGTGTTTTACCATAATTTACCGTTCTATGTTTTTTGTGAAAAGGCCGCTGTGCCTGTATGAGAACCTGATATCATCTGAAGTCATCGCAGCAAACAGAGGCTGATGTGTTCAGACAGGTAGATTCTCTTTTTGTCAAGCAGAATTTTGCTTCTATTGTCCCCTCTTGTCAGCGTGCTGAACTGTGTCTATTCAAAGGGGCTCAGGTGTGACAGTGTGTGTGTTCTGGGCGTGTTTTTCAGGGGAGTGTGGAGGACGAGGGGATGCAGTATTGTATGAAGCCAGTAGGCCTGATCCTTCTTTGTGCTCCAGCAAGATTTAAAGCTGTTTCCTGTTTTTGAAGCGTCCACTTAGAGAGAAATGACTCCCTGGGGCAGACAAGGCTGATAGTGTCACACATTGAAAAAAGTATTTAATGATGTTCAAATAAAAACTACTACTTGATGGCTACTATTTAAATGTAACAGAGCAAACATTCCACAATAATTCCCAAAGAACCGTAATTTCTATTGACTTTACCCCATGCACTCTCACTTTCTGTCACTCTTGGGCCTCAGCATGGCTCCAGGCTGTACAAATGAGGCCTGCCACTTCACAGAGCTAAAGAAAACTATTCTGATGTCACTGGTAATTATTCAGCAGTGTGTTCCCACAGCTTGTCCGTACCCTCCCCTGTCCTTAATTTTCCCTCTTCATCTCCATCTTGGTGTGTGTGTGTGTGTGTGCCTGCCTTAATCTGATCCAGATTTTACACTTTGTCAGTCTTGTACCTTTGGAACAGTAAGTGTAATCCCCTTTGGGCAAGACACGACACGAAGTAAATGATTTCACACCAGAGCTATTTGTCTTTCTTAGGAGCGCTGTAGGCTTCAAATGGAGGTCTCAATGTTCTATGACCTTCTCCACTTTTACTGTTAAACATGTAAATTAAGAGTACCAATGCACACAAAAAACATAACAATTACGATGCATTTAAAAAGCAGCATATATCCGTAAATCTATTTTGTGTGTGTTAGTCATTAACCTAAGGCTGTGACCCCCACTGGGGCAATAAATCTCAACGTTTGAGCAGGTTTGCCTAATGACATTTCCATGTTGTTGGAAAAGAGATGTTAACGTGGAAATGAAGAAGTACAATAAGTTGGTGTTCGTGTTGAGAGAGTTTGTTACCAGTGAAAAAAAATCTAAGCAAAACTGCAACCTCATGCTGAGACCGATTGCTAATCTGATCTTTAGACACTATGGCAAACAAAAAAGGACAGTCCTACTGGAACAGATTTTTTAAAGCTACTTTATTAACTAAATAATACATTTCATTTGTGTAAGTGTTATGTATTTATTCTGTCCTTATCTTCTAAACCTTTTGACTTGTAAGAAAGACAAATTGTTGCTTTGAGCTGAGAGTTGATTTCCTGATGAAGAGTGGTCCTCTCTTTTTAATGTTTCTGAAAGAAACCCTAAATGATAAGATGTGACAGAGACCAAAAACAAATGCATGTGACATCAAACTGTTTTGAGAGCTGGTGAAGAGAGTTGAGATTTAAAATACATAATTCCAATAGTAGTGGTTTGAAATTTGAGTACCTCAGCTTTATAGGACTATTAATACAGTGAACATGATTTACAAAAATGTTATTCATTGGAAAATAAGGGAATACGTTAAAGAAGGAAAAAGAAAGGCGCACTAGTGCAATATCCAAAAAAAGGATTGATTACCAGAAAGCCTACGTCTCAATGCCACACACATTGACCATGGAATACTTGAAGTTGTACAATATCAACATGGCTACAAGGGACTTCGCTGCAAACTCAAAGGGGAATGTGAAAGACCACCCTTAAAGGCAAACAAATGGCAAGCCACTCGCACAAGTGACCATCAATTGTGGCCACCACCAAGAAGATGCTCTGTCCCCACTGCTGTTCTGCATAGGCCTGAACACTTTAAGTCCAATAATCAACTGGATACCGCCTCAGGAACGGAGCCAAGATCAGTTACCTCCTCTGATATGACTTGAAGCTGTACGCCAAGATAAAGAGGGACATGGAGTCTCTGATCCAAACCACCAGGATCTACAGCTGCGACATTGGGATGTCATTCGGACTCGAGAAAAGTGGCAGGATGGTCACTTGGAGAGGCAAGGTAGTTCACAGAAGGGATCTCACTAACAGAAGGAACAACAGCAGACATTGAGGGCAGTTACAAGATCTTGAGCTCAGCAAATTATATATATATATATATATATATATATACGAAAGTTGCGTCTGTACATTTGGTCGTGTGTACACAATCAATGAGTGTGTATTTGTGAATGTAACTGGGACAACGATTGGAAATCAGGCCAAGCTTCTTTCAGGATTATTTACAGCACCTGCTGGTCATGTATACTCACCGTCCCGTACAAATAAATAAGTAAATAAATAACAGTAACAGTCTTCCACTCAAATAGTTCACTGAAGCTGGAGAGCCTTACATTCTCATATAGAGGAGATCTACAAAACAAGCTCTGCTCTTCACCTGCTCCTGTATGCAGGACGCACACAGAGAGCAAACTGCGGCACCTTTAAAGTACATGGGGAAAAAATGCAATGGATGAATGAGTGAATGGGGGCGGTTCTAAGTCAAAGAGGAGCAGGTGAGCTTGTGTGACAGGAAAACACAAAAGCATCTCACATGTGAGGGCAGGCCAGAGCGAAAGCCTTTGAAGAGGCCTCTTCATCTGTCCCATACTTGAGTGACGACAGTGGAAATACTCCTCAACTTCCTTATCAGTTTTAGCCAGACAAATATTTTACTACTTCCCCAGACAATTAGACAAAGCTCAACTATAACTTTCTTCCTCCACACACACATGCTGTAGGATGTAAGGGCGACGTTAGGATTTTTTAAGCCTTTGACAGGGCACTTTGGTATCCTTCTCTTTCTCAAAAGCAGGATAGGTAAACATTTGCCACACAGATTTCACAAAGAAGGGGAGGGCAGACACAGGATGGAAGTCTCCTGTTGCTCCTGTTTAGCCTGGTTTTGTGTTTCTTGTTTTCTTAGGTTTAATGGCGGCTTTGTGGCTAGGCAGAGGATGAGCCGACAGAGAAAGATGTGCAAACACAAGCGGGATTCAATGCCAACCAGGTGTTTCGTACCATGCGTGAGATTCCTGCATTTATTCCTTTCAAAACATGCATCTGTGCACACAACTCTATGCATAGTTATGTTGATCTATAGCCAGTGCGTCAGGCTGATTTTGGGGTGTTGTCTTGCCCAGGTGGCTTGTGCATGTCTGTGTGTGTGAGTGCGTGTGTGTGTGTGTGAAAGAGAGAAAGAGAGAGAGAGCTCTTCATGGTCACTGACTCCATTCACCTGAGGAGGCTTTCACAGTGTGGAGCTAAATGCCAGTAAAAAGCCTCTTTGGACAGCTTCTCATCAACACCGACCACAGCTGCTGTTGACTTACGCCCAGGAATCTCCTCCATACAGTCGCACACCAATCAATCAATCAATCAAATTTTATTTATAAAGCGCTTTTCATACAAAAAGTGTAACACAAAGTGCTTTACAGTTTAGTTAAAAACAATCCAACATGCCCAGCCCTAAACCCTCCTCCCCACAGACCCCCCAAAATCACATTTATAATTATATATACAATACACACACACCACACACACACACACACACACACACACACACACACACACACACACACACACACACACACACACACACACACACACACACACACACACACACACACACACACACACACATATACACAAGTATAAAGTCATATCAGGTAAAATAGGTAAAACAATAAAAAGAAATGGGGCTGGGAGCAGATGTAACCGGCTGAAGAAGCGTCATCCAAGGAGCCATCTGCACCAGGAGCAGAGAGCCGGCTGCAGCCACAGGCAACGACACAGGACCCAGAGGAGAGAGGGGCCCCAGACCCCACCAGGCCCAGGACTCAGACCCCATAGGACCCAGAGGAGAGAGGAGGCCCCAGACCCCCACCGGATCCAAGAGCCAGTCCCCCGAAGCCACAGCAGACCCCAGCTCTCAGTGCAGAGGGCTCCTCCAGAGGAAACACTGGGGACACTAAAACAATACAATAATACAATAGAAATAGAATGTGAAAATAAAAAGAAAAATGGCAGCTGCCTAATATAATAACAATAGTAAATGGGTAGATACAATAAATAATTAAAAATAGTAAATAATAAAAATAAATACAAATATAATCCGTCTAAAAACATAAATAGATGTACTAAAAAGCAATAATAGATAATAAATACTAATCAAAAGCTGCTCTAAAAAGGTGCGTCTTGAGCCTACTCTTAAAAATATGAACGTTCTCTGCGGCCCTGAGCTCCTCCGGCAGACTGTTCCAGAGACGGGGGCCGTAGTGCTGGAAAGATGCCTCGCCGTGAGTGTGTGTCCTGACTTTGGGGATGGTTAGGAGTCTGCTGCCGGAGGAGCGCAGGGGCCGGGAAGGCTCATAGGATAAAAGCAAATCTGAAAGATAAGAAGGCCCAAGACCATTAAGACATTTAAAAACCATTAAAACACCAGGCCAGGATGTTTTGTTTTTTCCTACCCAGATTTAACAAATACAGAAATCAATGCACTTACTTAATAAATGGTTTGGCTGACTGTGACAGACATCCCGAAAACCCACAAGAAATGTCGTGTTGTGAAGTTTTTTTTTGATGTTTTTCCCTTATGCAGTTAAAGGAACTGTCATCTGTATTCAACCATCCTTTCAATGCTCCAAAAGCAATGGCCATTTGAGTGATGTGTCGAGGGCCAATCTCCAGCTGTTTTGCGC